TAGAGAGAGAGAGAGAGAGAGAGAGAGAGAGATGGCAACGGGGGCGGGGAACACAGGGGACCCCAATCCCCATCCCCATCCCCGAATCCTCATTCCAATCCCCATCCTCATCCCCATCCCCATCGGGGAATATAAATAAACCCCCATCCCCACCCCCAACAGAGACTGGGGATCCCCAACGGGGAAACGGGGATTTCTTTTTCTCTTTTAACATGCAAGCTTTTACGTAAGAAAAAACTCTATATTTCAATTTTACCAGCATAAGTTTAAAGATTTTATAAAATATATAAGTACCCATAAATTGCATAAAAAAATATAAATAAATTTTCTACCAAATTTAAATACATACATGAAAAATCAAGTAGAAAAAAGTTATCAGATTGATATTTAACGTAAAATAGATCAACCAAAGAGAAAAAAATATATATACACGAGTTTAAATTAGATAAAAGAAAAAGCAAAAAGTATAATTTCAACCAAGTAATTACTAATGAGTTAGGTTACTTAGATCAAATTTTATGTATTATAAACTATACTATAAATATATGTTCTGTATTATTTTTATATATTAATATATGTCGGGGGCGGGTCCAGGGTCGGGGATTATGGGTATCCCCATCCCCACTTTTTTTATTCGGGTATTCTCCATCCCCGTCCCCATCCCCGATCAACCTGAGGATTCTCCAGTCAAAACGGGTGCGGGTTTCGGGTTCCTCATTGGACATTGGGCTTTTTGCCATCCCTAATATATATAGATTAAAATATAAAATAAAAAAGAATTTAAAACCGATTTTATATAGTCGTTCGAATTTATAATGTCGTCCGATTTATAAAATATTGTTCGAAATTTATAATAATAATAATAATATTAAAATATAAAATAAAAAATAATTAAAAACCGATTTTATATAGTCGTTCGAATTTTATAATGTCGTCTGGATTTATAATGTTATCTTAATTATAAAATTTTGTTCGAAATTTATAATAATAATAATAATAATAATAATAATAATATAAAATAAAAATGAATTAAAGACAGCAAATAAATAAAATAGGAAAAAAAAAACAATAAAAGATAAAAAATCAAATCCTAGAGAGGGTGGAATTAAAAAAGAGACCGGATGGTTATAGAAACCCCTATTTTAAACATTAACATTTGTGAAAATGTTGAACATCCCACTACAGTCTTTTAAACTGTAGCATGTAGACTTTGTTCCATTTTCTCCGGTACTCCCTCTGCCCCCACTATATATATATATATATATATATATATATATATATATATATCTCTCTCTCTCTCTAAAGAAATTCATCATTTCGCTTGAAAGCCCTTCTCCTGTACTCCCTTTTTCCCATCATCCCTTTAAAACTTCTCACACGCTTCATGAAAAATCTATCTGTTCTCACTCAAAGAACCTTGATCGTCACCTCCACCACCACCATTGACGCGGTGAGTCTGCCGAGTATAGGCATCGGGAGTCATCAGATCAAGCGGGTAACTAAGCCGAAGGTCATCAAATGTTCGTGAATAGGAACAAAAACCGTCTAATGAGTAATCTTTCTCTCTCTCTCTCTCACACACACACATACACACTGCATGCTCGCTTAGGGTTTTGGGTAAAGAGATGAAATTTGGTTGTCATAGTCTCATAAAAAGCTTGAATATTATATTACATGATTGTTCTTTTGTTCTCTCAGATCCACGTACCTAACAAGGAACAAAACCCAATTTTCTTTTGTTTTTTGAGACCCACATAGGTAAAAATCATTTTTTTTAAATCAATGTTAGAAGTGGGTTTGCTAATTTTTGTTATTTTTCATTTTTGATTTTTGAGCTTGGATCTGGATGAAGATTAACAAGATCGGGAAAATGGGCTTTTCGATTTGGAACAGGTAACATGCAATTTCTTTTTCTAAATCTTTCAGTAAATCTTGAAACGAAATCGTTTTCTTCATCCTCGATTTCGTCTCTTTTTTTTTTTTTTTTCATATATTATGTCCCGAAAATATGGTGAAAACTAACATCTAGGATATGGTAATTTGTTATGGAGAATGTTGAAGGGAGCTTCAATGGTGGCTTTTCATGATAGTTATGGAGGAAGATCGAGAGGTGATTTTGTTAAATTTTTTTTAAAATTTATATTTAAGTTGATTTGGATGTATAGTATAATTGGATCTTTGAGCTTTTAAAGGAGTGTTTTTAAAAGAAGAAGATTAAGGTTTGTTATTGGTAATGATTGTTTGATCAAATGAGACAATTTTAAGGGTTAATTGCTTTAATGATAAAAATATTAGATGTCATGTTATATGATTTCCTTTTGAACAAATATGTAGAAAATAATTATCTATTTTATAAAATGTTTTTTTTGGAAAATAACGTGTTCCTTTCGAAAAAGAAGTTCGCAAGTTTTGGACCACGAATTGAGAAGATTTTTTTATTAGGAATGTTGTATTTTATATTTTTAAAACCATGGTTAAATGCAATAAATATCAACTAACTTCTGCTTATCCCTTAATGTAACTAATGTAAAAACCATACCTTTATTTAAATAAGTGTGTATGTGATTGTATCTGGTTGCATTTGTGAATATATGTCAACACGAGGTTTCCATTTGTAGCAATGTACTTCCAATAGATTTGCAAAAAAATCATTAAAATGACAATTAACTAATTTTTAACTGTTCATAGCAATGTACATTCAACAAAGATATTGCTTAAACACGTGCCGCAACGCGCACGGCTTGATAACCTCGTTCTATATATTTATTTTACAATGATGAATATGTAAAATATTATTCCTAAAAACATATATGTCTAATATTAAATATATGTTATATCATATGTAATATTATATATATTTTACACACGTGAAATTAGAATATATAGAATATTATATATTATATATGGATGGTGATTTTTTTTTAAATTTAAAAGTTTCAAAAAGTATAATTACATATGTATTTTTATTTTCATTATTTTCATTTTTATTTAGTTTTTTCTTTTATATCCAAAATGTGTGGCCATAAACATATTAATTTTGTCTTTTAAAATTTCAATGGTCTCATAACAACAACAATAATAATAATAATAATAATAATAATAATAATAATATAAACAATGAAAATTAAAATTTAGAAGACTTTTTAATATATGTTAGAAATTAATAATTTTATTAGATTAATGTCAAGAAATTTATATAATTTAGGAAAATTGATGTTGCTTGATTCTATAAATATTTATTTAGGTATAAATATCTTAGATAAAAGATTAAAATGTAATTATTTAGTTTTAAAAGATCTTCTAATAGAATTATAAATATCAACATAAAATAAAAATAATGAGGGAAATAATAACACGTGCAAAATGAGCTTTTAACAGATTTATCGCAATATCATGTAACCCAATAAGAGTATTATGTAACCACTAGGAGTATGTTTAATTTTAAATATTAAATAAAAAATCATCTTTATATATCTCTTTATTAAGTCAAGAACACCAAATGAGAAAAAGCCGTGAAAATTGACTACCAAAAAATTTCTATGATCTTCTAAGTTCTAAAGGACATAATTTTGTTTACGGATTTTTTTTTTTTGTTTTTTTTAAGACTGATTTTAATATCTCCCGATTCTAAAAAAATAATTTTGGTTACGAGTAAATACATATCAACAATCTTCCATTAGATTGTATTAATTATTAAAGTATTTGTCATTCCAATCAAAATTCCATATGCAACCTTTCAGGTAGACTTTTAGTAATTAAACTAATTTATGTAGTCTATTATGTTTTTAATAATTGAAAATATTTTTCTTTCTGGGTTATTCAATTTTATTTATTAAACTTTTTTTGAATTTTTTTTCATTATATAAGGCTATACAGAATGGTGTGTGTGTCGTGGGTGGGGGCACCACCCTTGCATGGTGGTCGTGTGAATTCTCATGAGTTCAGCTACGCACCTTCACGATCTCTCTGTTATTTCTCATACTATTGGTGAGTGTAGTGAACATCATTTTACAACCCCGGTGACACTACATGAAAGGTGGACATTAGCGGCGATGCAGGACATTAGCGGCGACATGTAATTGATGTGTTACATGTCGCTGCTAACGCCTTGCATCACCGGTAATGCCCACACAATAGCGATCCGCGTCAAATGAGTCCCATCCGTTCGATTTGTATTCAATCCAAGGGTTGTAACGGCCTGAAAATGGCGCTGACTTTTCCCAACATGGGTGTCGCCGCTAATACCTATGTGTCGCCGCTAATACTTATGTGTCGCCGCTAATACCCGTCGCTGCTAAAGGTGTTTACTGATAACCCCCCGTCTTCTCCCCTTCCTGCGTCTATCGTGTGCCTCTTCTTTCTAAATCCTCACAGCCAACTCCCACCCGACTCTGACCATCGAACGCCGCTAGACGCCGGTTGCTGCCACAACAATTGTCGCCGACCAAACCTCCATTTCCGGCGACCAAGACCTCCATTACCGGCGAGAAAGAGGACGACGACACAACTAAAATTCGGAAAATTGGACGATTTAAGGTCAAATTCCTTCCCTATTTTCTATTATTCTTCTGTTTTGATGTTATTTTTAGTGATGAAACTTGTTGTATAATTGATTTATATTTTTTCAGATTTTGTGTGGTTGAGTGATTATATATGCATTTTGAGGTATGAAAGTGTTTATGCATTTTGAGTGATTATATATGTTTTCTCAAATTTATGCAACCTTTTGTATAATTGATTTATGTTTATGCTCATCGTGGTGTATTGGCATGAAAATGAAATTAGACATGATTTGTTTGATTTTGTATTTAGATGTATACATTTGTATGAAATTGAAATTGGATGTCTAAAATGGTAGGTGCTATAAGGTATGGTTATATGAAATTGGATGTATTGCTTAATTTTTTGAAATTGGAATTTGAATTGGATGTATTGTATGCTTAATTGTATGAAATTGGAATATGAAAGTTGTATTGTATGTTTGAAATAAAATGAAAATTGGAATTGAATGTATTGTATACAAGTATGATTATGTGATATCTAGGATTAATAGTTTGGTGTATATAAGATGAAGTGATAAAGTTCTTAATTGATAAGTTACAGTTTTTGTATTTAGATGTCATTGTTTGTACTGTAAAGTGCTTAATTGATAAGTTAATGTGTTTGATAAGTTGAAGTGTTTGTATTTACAAGTATGATTATATTAGATGTTTTTTTATGTCTTTATTTTCTTGTTAATATGGTTTCAAAGTGCTTAATTTTGTTAATGACTTAATGTTGGTCATTATAACTTTAGCTTAATTAGGTTGTTAATAGCAACGTACTTTTAGTAATTTTAAATCAATTATAAAATAAACTTAAATTAATTTTAAAAAAATCAATAAAAAGAAAATATTAAATTAATTGTAAAACCAAATTAAATTAGTTTTAAAATCAAATTAATATTAATATTAAAATAAACTAATATTAATTATAATATAAAATTAATTTAATTTAAAAAGAAAACTAATAACAAAACAGAAAATATTAAATTAATTATAAAATCAAATTAGGTTAATTTTAAAATCAAATTTAATTAATTATAAAATCAAATTAAGTAATTATAAAATTAAATTAAATTAATTATAAAATCAAGTTAATATTAATATTAAAATAAAATAAAATTAATTATAAAATCAAATTAAACTAATTTAAAAAACTAAACTAATAAAAAAAATATTAAATTAATTAGAAAATCAAATTAATTTAATTTTAAAATCAAATTAAATTAAGTATAAAATCAAATTAAATTAATTATAAAATCAAATTAAATTAATTAAAAAATCAAACTAATATTTCTATTAAATTAAATTACAATTAATTATAAAATGATCTTAAATTAATGAAAAAAACCTAATAACAAAAACAAAAATATTAAATTAGTTATAAAATCAAATTAAGTTAATTTTAAAATCAAAGTGCTTAATTTTGTTAGTGATTTAATGTTCGTCATTACAACTTTAGCTTAATTAGCTTATTGATAGCACGTACATTTAGTAATTTTAAATTAATTATAAAATAAAGTCAAGTAAATTTAAAAAATCAATAAAAAGAAAATATTAAATTAATTGTAAAATCAAGTTAAGTTAGTTTTAAAACCAAATTAATATTAATAATAAAGTAAAACAAAATTAATTATAAAATCAAATTAAATTAATTTAAAAAAAAACTAATAACAAAAAAATATTAAATTAATTATAAAATCAAATTAAGTTAATTTTAAAATCAAATTAAATTATTTATAAAAACAAATTAAATTAATTATAAAATCAAGTTAATATTAATATTAAAACAAAATAGAATTTAATATAAAATCAACTTAAACTAATTTAAAAAACTTAAACTAATTAAAAAAAAAGAAAATATTAAATTAATTAGAAAATCAAATTAATTTAATTTTAAAATCAAATTAAATTAATTATCAAATCAAATTAAATTCGTTATAAAATCAAATTAGATTAATTATAAAATCAAATATATTAATATAAAGTTAATTAAAAAAACTAATAACAAAAAAGAAAATATTAAAATAAGTATAAAATCAAATTAAGTTAATTTTAAAATCAAATTAAATTAATTATAAAATCAAATTAAATTAAATATAAAATCAAGTTAAACGGTATATTTTTTAAACCATAATATTATTTAATATAATATTAAAAGTACGGTGCTATAATAGAAAATAAACAAAAGTATGATGTTATAATTAACAAAATTATGATAGTTTTGTTAATTATAATATTATACTTTTGTTTATTTTCTATCATAGCATCGTAATTTTAAAATTATGGTTTAAATAATGTACAATATAATATGATTTTCTTATTAAAACACGTTGGATCATTGATTTTTAGTTTAAGTTTCTTCTTCATAATCATCAAGAGCCTAGAAATACCCGCCTAAAATTGATTTAGAAATTAATTTCAGGCTTTACCCGTTTTGGGACTGCTTTTTGAATACTTTATCTCATTTAGGATGTGAACATGTATTACATGATTGTTTGTTTAAGAAATATTCGGTTGTCATTTTCT